ATATATATACATATATATATATATATATATATATATATATATATATATATATATATATATATATATATATATATATATATATATATATATATATATATATATATATATATATATATATATATATATATATACATACATACATATACATATACATATATATATATATATATATGTATATATATCTATATATATGTGTATATATATATATATATATATATATATGGATTGACTCCGGTGAGATGACACCTTATGGTAAGATGACATGTTTCAATCAGATGACGCTAGAGCTCACCACTGATCACTGCAAAGCTCACCATTGATCACTGCAAAGCTCATCATTGATCACTGCAAAGCTCACCACTGTCTACTGCAAAGCTCACCATGATTTTCCAACACTTTACTTTTTTTTCAAAATTTGATGGTTAAATGCTTACAAAGCCCAACAACAAAGCTCACTGATTATCATTGCAAAGCTCACCGAATATGTGCACAAAGCTCACCACACTTTAAAAATTAAAATGATTTCAAAAAAAAACAAAGGGCGGTGGTGCTGACTTCCAACCGCTGCAGACTACCACCGTGGACTGGTGGTTGACTGGTGGTGCAATTTTATTAGCTTTTTTTTAAAAAAAAAGTGGTGAGCTTTGCATTGTTCCTTGGTGAGCTTTCCATTGACAGTTGGTGAGCTTTGCATTGATAGTTGGTGAGCTTTACACTTTGACCGCCCATGACCAATGGCCACCATCGATGACCTCCACTGTTGCCGTGGACCGGTGGTTGAGTGGTGGTTGAGTGATGGTGCTATTTTTTTAACTTTTTTTATTTTAAAAAGTGGTTAGGTTTGCATTGACAGTTGGTGAGCTTTGCATTGGTAGTTGGTGAGCTTTGCATTGGCAGTTGGTGAGCTTTCCATTAATAGTGTTGTGTCATCTCATTAAAGCATGTCATCTGATCATAAGGTGTCATCTCAGTGGAGTCAATCATATATATATATATATATATATATATATATATATATATATATATATATATATATATGGAGCATATATATCTTCTTCTAAAACCATTTGTCTTTAAGTTTTTACTCTTTTACTAAAACACTTCCAAGCCACTTACTATTAAAAAGCTAATTGATGTAGTAAACTAGTTAAGTGATTTCTCTTTCATTTTTTGGAAGCTAATGATTTAATTGGAAAGTAAAGTTACAAAAATAAATCATGCAGAATTCAAAAATGATAAGAACTGTTTTAGTGAAGTAAAAGTTAAAATTCTTAAATATTGTACGGAGTACTATATTTGTAGACGTGGTATTAAATGATTTAAATTTGCATGCTAACATTTTGTTTGGAATTGTGTGGGTGCAAATGTATGAATAATGCAGCAGGTGGCTGATGATGACTATGTTTTGGTGAAGATATATCACAAGAACATGATGAAGAGCAACTCTTTTGTTCCTGCACCACAAGTACTACAACAAGATCTTCTTCATGATAATAATGCTGTTGCGGCAGATCATCAACAAGAAGATAATGATAAAGCCCTTGTTCCAATTACCATTGTTGCTGCAGAAAGTCATCATAATCAAGATAGTGATGAAGGGATGAAGGAATATCATCACAAGAACATGAACAACAACTCATCATTTGTTGCACCACAAGTGCCAGATTATCATGATGAAGATTTTATTGAAGGCATGAATTTACTGATTCTTCATCAAGATAATGAAGGCATGATGAATTTATTGATTCATCAACAAGAGGAAACCCCCCTCCTCCTCCTTCCAAATGATCTTCAACAAGAGGATAAATCCCTCCTTCCAAATGCTTATACTGCTGCTCAATCATCAAGCCAATATAATGAAGCCATGATGAACTTCTTGATCCAACAAGAGGAGATCAAACCCACCCTTCCAAACACAAGTCCTACACTTCATCATCAACATGAACATGATGATGCTCCAAATGATGATCATCTTCATTATCTACTCAACGATAATCGTGAAGCTCAGCATCAGCATCCAACAAACACGTTGTCGCCATGCGTTGCCCAAGATTATATGATGCTCTCCGATTTCGCGTCTGGCGATGAAAGGCTTCAAGTAGAGTCGGCACCGTTCCCACCATCACCAATCAGATACAACGACGACTGCTCGTACCCACTCGAAGACTTCTGCGATATATGGTCGGAGTCATATCATCAAGACTTAATGTTTGCTCAACAAGCTGCTGCTTCTGATGCTCATTATTATCATGAACTTGATAAAAATAACAACAATAACAAACGTCAAAGGCTCGTTTAGATTTCGGAGCACTTCAATTTTGTTATATTGTATGTTTCCACGATGAAGTTCACATTTTTTTTCTACTACTGCATAAAATATTGTGTTGGTTTTTCTCTATCCTATCTTTTTTACGTAGTATTTCCCTATGCTCCGGGGCCGCCAATTTAATCTTATCCTTTTTTTATATAGGGGTAGTATGCTATGTTTCTCGAGACTTGCAATATTTTTCAAGTTTGACGATTTAAGTAAAGAGGAATTTAAAAAAAAAGTAAAGAGGAATTTACGTAGCACTAAAACATAGGGAGTAATGTTTTTCCCTAAATAATACTTCCTCCGTCCACAAAAACATTTCCCCTTTTATTTTTTTCACTTCCAACAAAACACTTCCACTTTCTATTAAAAAACCACTTTTACCCTTACTTTTTCATACCCTATGTATCACATCATACTTTATCTCCAATAATCTATCCATCACATCTTACTTTTACCTATCACATCAAAGGCAAAATTGGAAGTCAAGTACAATTTAATACGGAGTACTTCCTTATTTTTACACAAAGTCAAAAGAGAAACACTTTTTCCAAACGGAGGTAGTACTACATGTGTTTTTTTCCAATATAGTATTTTTTGTCATCACTGGTCATTATTATAGACATTATAAAGTGTTATTTAAGTAATAAAACTATTTAAGTGCTATTTAGAGAAATGACTTAAGTTTTAGTACTATTCAGTGCAAATATTTCTTAAGTAAAACTAGACAAATTTTGATCATTAATTAAATAAATGATAAATACTCCCTCTGTTTGCAAAAAGACTTCCCATTTTGATTTGGGGGCAAAAATAAGGAAGTGTTAAATTATACTCCCTCTGTTCCACAAAACCCTTCCAGTTTTGACTTTGGGGGGAAATAAGGAAAGTGTAATTTTAGTTGACTTTCCAATTTTGCCCCTGATGTGATGGGAAAAGTAAGATAGAATAGTTTGGTTATTAGTGAAAAAGTATGATGTGATAGGTAGGGTATAAAAAACTACGTGTAAAAGTGGTTTTTTAATAGAAAGTGGAAGTGTTTTATGGAAATAAAAAAAACGAAAGAGGAAGGGTTTTGTGGAACGGAAGGAGTAGTTGATTTCCAATTTTGCCCATGATGTGATGGTAAAAGTAAGCTGTGATAGATAGATTATTAGAGAAAAAGTATGATGTCATAGGAAGGGTATGAAAAAGTAAAAGTAAAAGTAGTTTTTTAATAGAAAGGGAAAGTGTTTTGTTGGAAATGAAAAAAAATGATAGAGGAAGTGTTTTTTGAGAACGAAGGAAGTATGTTTTTTAGAAGAAAAAAACTTGATATATTGAATATGAGTATGATACAAAAATGATGATTTTATTATATTTATCTTGTTAAAAAATTAAAGTATCAAAATTATTTAATTATATTAATATACTATGGGTCGTATAATACATATTTAATACTCCATTCTCCCAAAAACTCCTTTACATTTTAAAAAAATTCTGTTCACAATCTCCTTCCTATTTTTATTTAAAAACCACTTTTACCCATTATTTTTTTATACCCTACTTATCACATCAATTCTTTTTACTAATAATTTATACATAACATCATACTTTTACCTATCACATCAAGGGTATTTTGAAAAATCAACACAAAATTATTCATCCATTATTTTATTTTACCACTTTAATCAATATATCTCCTTTCTATAGGACGAAGGGAATATAATATTTGATGATAAAAGTATCTAGTTTAGCTCGACACTACATGTATGAATTCAGTATATACAAGGATCGGAGTACGGAGTAGTATAATAATGAGTGGATGGACACTTTAAGTGAAACTTAATGGTACTCTTTCCATTTCACAAAATATTTCCGTCCTAATCTTTTGAGCATCCTATATGTTGGGATTCCTCCAAATCTCACATCGGAAGGAGAAGAAAAATTGAATCCAAATATATAGGTTCACCCAATCCCATTAGTATGAGGCCTTTTGGGAGGTACCCAAAACCAAATCCGTGAGAGCTTGGCCCATAGCGGACAATATCATACTAAAGCGGGGTTGGGGTGAGGGCACGCGCAGTCCAAACATGTAGTATCAGAGCCCAGGTTCTTGCGGGCGTGAGCAGCAGACTGTGTAGTGTAGAAAATCCTGGTGTGACGGTGTAACAATAGGACCAAGACTAAGAAAGGAGATTCGCAGAGGTGCCTTCTGTTGAAAGTCGTCCCGATGAGAGGAGGTCGGGCGGCGTGTCCCGTGATGTTATAGCCACGGCGGTACAAGATGATTTGTTAGATCAATTGGTGTAGCCCAGCGAAGGAAAGAACTGCGGTTCGAGCCCTGCGTCGAAAGTCTTCCTGACAGGAGGTCGGGCGGCGTGTCCCGCAAAGAGTATGCGGCGGTGCAGGATGGTTGGCAGATAAAAAAGGAAAAATGGATTATCGCTGGAGGGGAGGTCGGAAGTTGTGTGGTCCTTGGATAAGGGGAGGTTTGTTGGGATTCTTCCAAGTCCCACATCGGAGGGAGAAGAAAAATTGGACCAAACACTACAAGAAAACGCGAAAAAAACGACGGATTATAGCGACGGAATGCAATTCGACGCTAACGACGACGGATTCAGCGACGGAATTTTACACCTACCAAACTTTACGACGGAATCAGCATTCCGTCGCTCCGTATTGGTGGGAGGTAGTGCGCGGCATATTAGACGACGGAAATAACAACGGAAAAATTCCGTCGTTAGTTTGGTGACGGAAAAATTCCATCGGTAAAAGAATATAATTGAAACGCTGCGTTTTGAGCTGGCGACGGAAAAATTCCGTCGCCAAAAACAGATCTGAAAACGGGAACTCCTCTCAGTTTCTCCGATTTCGCAGACAGAACCCACAAAGAGTTGTTGTGTAGTTTCGTCTCCTCCGCGACGCCTTCCGCCACCATCATCCAACGGTCGCTGTCCGATCATCTTCTCCATCCGCCACCATCAACCGCCGGTCGTCTACCCATCTTCCGTCACCGTCCACGTGAAATCTCAGGTTTTGTTTTTCATTTTTTCATCTTTTATTCAATTTCAATTTCTGAATTAATTTGTTTTTAATTATAATTGTATTTCTTACATTAGGAGTTTTTAAGTTAACATATTTTGTTTATTATTACAAATTTAATTTTAATTTTATAATTATTTTAGATTAGGGTTTGCTTTTCAAAATTTAGTCATTTGTTTTTAAAAAAATTAATTATATTTTTGAAAGTTATAGTGAATGAATATCGTGCTTATTAATCATTTATATATTGTAACTTTTATATGAGGAATGAATTTATGCTAATTAATTGTTTAATAGCATATTTTGGATATTATTAATGTTATATGAAGATTGTATATGTATTATGTATGTTATTGAATATTGTGGTTGTTCCATTTATATTTTTAATGTTTTTTTAATTCTATAACTTAATAGTATGTTAATTTTATTTTTATGAATCTCTAAGAATAGTGACTTTCACAAAAATCGGAATTGGATGTATAAAAGACTTGGTAGTTCTTGTTTTATAAATACAGATTGGATTTTATAAATACAGATTGAGTTGCGCCAAACTTAGATTCAAGTCTGGAATGTGAAATTTTCACATGTAAAAATTTCTATTGAATTTCTATTTGTATATTTGTATTAATTGTTGTTAAACAGTATTAGAAGACAACAAAGTTCTT